GGTTCGTAGGTACAACGATCTTGTTCACGACCGAAGCAACCCAAAAGTTTCCANTGGAACCAATTCTTCTGATATTGTCAGGGTTTGAGACCGAGTTNNTGAAGTCTTCAGAAGTACCAGCTTTAGGTCCTTTGATCCAATACCTCTTGATGTTACTCTTTGTGAACTGACTAACCAGCACAAACGAACCATCCGAGCTCACTGCACAACCGGCTGAGCCACTTAGACCTTCCATCAATACAGTCACAACCTTTGTTGATGGATCGTATTTGAAGAGCTTCCCGGTCGCGTCCTTAATCCCAATGCAATATTAATCACTTGACTAAAATAGTAAATAACAAAAAACCGCATACGTTTAGCAACCAAAATACATTATAACATCTATAAATTAATACCTGGAATAATCAATAAATTTATCCAGTTCCAAAATAAGTTTATCAACCAAATAATATCGCGTTAGCATGTAAATATTGTTAAATAAAAAATTAGAGAAATAATAAAAAAATAAAAATGATGATTTTCGAAATTCAAGAATTAATGTTTGATTTGAAAAGTTGTATATTTATAACAAAAACACAACTTTAATAAGAATAATATGAATACAAGTAAACGATATAAAAAAAATGTATGATCAATCACACATGGTATCCAAATGGATATAAATACAACTTTAATAAATTAATTGACATCAGTAAATGATTAATGTTAAATTATTATGTTATATAACGTTTAAAATATTAAAATATTATATTATGTAGATTTAAATTAGTAACATATGTATTTGTGAGTTCATGTTAAAAGAATAATGTAAATATGTAGAAATTTCAAACATGACATATAGAATTAATTGAAATATTTTGATTGGTTAATTTAATTAATGTGTTCCATAAAATCCTCATTGAGTGACATATAAGATTTTTTCACTTAGTGTCTCCTCAATTAATATATAGAAGATTTTATGTAAACAATTATAATAAGAAATGATTTTTCTTACGAAAAAAATCTTTCATGGCATATTAAATTGAGGAAAATTTCCAATTCATTTGATTTTAGATAATTTTTTCTTAACCAAATTTACCTAAATCTTTCATGGCATATATGCAAAGACTTTACGTAAATAAAAAGAGAATTACATAAGCCCTAAACCTTCTAACCGTTAAAAAATAATAAATCCAGACGTTAAAAACAAAAACAAAAACCTTCTAAATGTTTCCAAAGGTGTCGTCCTCATCACAACACAAGTAGACTACAAATAATATTACACCATAGAGTTTAAGCAGCCTACTATAGAGGTCGAACATAAAGTAGTTGTCAAGTTTTTTCTCTTTTGATCCCAATCAAGCAGCTTTAAGGCAATTTCCTCTGGATGTAAGAAGCTCCATGCTCTTCATACCTGTCATGTTACACAAAAGAACCAAACCAGAGTGAGAAGAGGAAAAAAAAAATTTAATTAATTTTATGCTGTGAGTCGAGAGATTGTTTTATAACAATCCAATGTGTCTTACTCAGACTTTGAGAACCACATTTGCTGGAATGAACCTAGCGATGCCAATATATCCCCTTCTATCCATACACTGCACATATCGCAATTCGGGTTACCAAAAAACTCAACTTTATTGTTTAAAACATAAATAGAGCTTCGTGATGAGACCTGAATCTACTCTCTGTTGTGTTACCGCTTGCCAACACTTTAACTCGAGCTGATTGAGGAGATTCCTAGAAAAAAGGAAGATAAAGTAGGACACTCGAAATTGGTGCATAACTCGAGCTGATTGAGGAGATTCCTAGAAAAAGGAAGATAAAGTAGGACACTCGAAATTGGTGCAATGCAGGACAATACCATATTTCTCCCGTTCTATTTACTACCACTATATTCCTATTTGAACTGTGAAAGACATAAGCAGAGAAAATATCTAAACACTTTCAGAAGGTAAATCTGCAATGTATAGATCGACCCTATCCAACGGAGTAACAGGAAATGTATTGTATCTTCATGCAGAACTATTACTTAAAGAGTTGAGATAGTCTGGAACCAAAAGAGAGACCAACTTTGTCAAGCAGGAAAAAAAACCAGACATTAGTAACAGCATACACAGACTTAGCTATTATCAAATCGAGTAATACATATACCTTTTAAAGAACATAACCGGGAGGTTCTGAGGGTGTGCAAGGTGTGCAACCGCATAGGGTCCATTTTTTTAGTTAATTTTTATTGTAATTTAGGGCCCAAAAATTATTAAAAATATATATAAAATGACCCAAAATTTTAGATTTTAGCAAATATAGACCATTTTTTAAAAAAAGTTAAAATTTTTGCACAGGACCCAAAAAATGTTTGGCCTTTTTTGAGCCGCCCCTGCCGTCATGCATGCACCGGTGCAATAGTCGTGGATCCTCCACCACTGAAGGGAATCAAGTTTGTATACGATTAGTGATCCACACATGAATCATATAAACTGAGAACAAGGCAACCTTTCACGACATATAGGATACAAATAGAACATTTCAGAATCTGTATATAAAGTTCAGAAGGCACAACAGCCTAAGATTATATTTACTGCATATGAAAAGCCTATTCTAATGATTTTTTCACATAATACATTTTGCATGTAAATATAAAGAAAACAGTGATAATAAAAAAAGTGGAGAATACAACCATTGCATAAGAAGATATAGAAGATCAAAAACATGAAGTGAGTGAAAATGTGATTAACTTAGAAGATGTTTTAGATTAAACCATACTACATGGGAAAATGTGAAGTCATGACAGAATGACAAGACTTCAAACTAGTAGAGAAATTTTCAAAAAAGGCGAATGTCGACATGTTTTACCAGTCAACAACCAAAGATGTAGCACGGCCTGAAGCAAATGATGTGAGAACCTAGCATCCATAGCAATACCAGACGCGAGGTCAACAGGGACATGTTAACTATTAGGGGTAAACAAAAAAAAGCGATGGAACAAGGTAGAGGGAAAGTACAGGATTCTTGGCCATAAATAATGATGGCACTTGGTATTTTTCAAACATTAGCTCAGCAGCCCTGTCATACATAGGAGGAAATCAGTTCAGGACTCCACGGTTAAATCAGTATCAAATAGACGGATACATAACCAGATAAACGAGACTTCTCTCTCTGCTGTTGCGTGTTCAAAGGGGGCTCCGCTAGCAGCATCGGGTGCTCCTTGGGATCAATCAGTAGACAATTCCTGAAAAAATAAATATTCATAGATGAAAATCACCAACCAACCATAGATGGAAAAGTAGAAGTTAACACAATCAAGATTAAAACTAAACGGATTATCGATGAAACTATACGAGTTACCTAAAAGCATGTTCCCATACATTGTCCACCATATCCCAATCAGCTACAATACCATCTTTTGTTGGTGACAATTTCTGACGACACAGAAATGTAAAAAAAAAAACTGACACTTCCATAACAAAATGCTAACCTCCATTTGATCGCGACGAACATTCAAAGCTTGAGATCCAACAAAGAGCTTTCTTTTGCCATTTTCTTTATCCGACTCCACGACATTGATCTTTGCATCCTCCGTGTATGCAGCATCATCAATATCCATTCCATTATTTCCATCTATTACCGGCCCCAACAACCTTAT